GATTCCCCGGGAATGTTTCAATATATGCTGCTTGGTAGATATGTTTTATTAGAGACTAGAGAATGCCCACCTTTCAGTGCCCCCAATGAGAAAGAGAGAAAGTTGTAATTGGACTTTTTTTTCCTGCCAATGTCTTAGGTATAAAAGGCTGTGCTGGGAGAGGAGGCATCTGCTGGGAGAAGCCAGGCCAGGTGGAACAAAACCTTTTCCAATACTAAAATGGCAAGGATGTGAGGAGGGGGCAGTCTCTAATCTGTGCCTTGTAGATAGTTTAATTATTAAGTTAAGAGATGTCATCACCAAAGGGCTGAGAAACAAGCAGGGTAATAACTGATTGTGTCTTATTATTTGCATATAAAGGCAAATTCTTCTGATTGATGTCTGTTTCAGAGCTTTGTAATTTTTATCTTATTTTATTTTGATGCATTATATTTATACATATTTATGGGGTACATGTGGAATTTTGTTACACGCATAGAATGTGTAATGATCAAGTCAGGACATTTAGGGTCTCCATCACCTGAGTATTTATCATTTCTACATGTTGGGAACATTTCAAGTCTTCTCTTCCAGTTATTTTGAAATACACAACATATTGTTGTTAACTATAGTCGCCCTGCTCTGCTATCAAACACTAGAACTTATTCCTTCTATCTAAATGTACGCTTGTACCCATTAACCATCTCTCTTTGCCCTTGACTCCACCAAAAAACTCCCAGAACCGATAAACAAATTCAGTAAAGTTGCAAAATACAAAATCAATATACAAAAATCAGTAGCATTTTTGTACACCAATAATGAACTAGCTGAAAAAGAAATCCAAAAGGCAATCTCATTTACGATAGCCATACGCAAAAGTAAAATACCTAGCAATAAATTTAACCAAGAAGGTGAGAGACCTCTACAAGGAAAACCATAAAGCACTTATAAAAGAAATTGAAGAGGACACAAACAAATGGAAAAACATCCCATGTGGATCAGAAGAATCAATATTGTTAAAATGACTGTACTCCCCAAGGCAAACTACAGGTTCAATGCAATCTCTATCAAAATACCAATATTATTTTTCATAAATATAGAAAAAACAATCCTAAAATTCTTATGGAATCAGAGCTTCATAATTTTTTACTCGTTTGCTTCTTAAAGAAGCCTATTCATTCGTTACTTAGGAGCCTGACAGAGGAAAGGTCTTCCTTAATCTTAGCCTGGAATTATATAATATCTTTTTGTCCCATTCCAACTTCAAGAAAATCCACTGTTACCAGTTTGGTGTATATTTTTTCTAAGCATATACAGGTACATATGGTATTTATCTATTTCTGTATCTATTTTTTTACAGTGGGATTAAATTATTAATAATACTACACATAAGATTCTGCAATCTGCTTAATTTTAATTCATTTTCAAATTTATGAAGTAGTTTAATATACAACATTGCACAGAGAAAAATACAATCAACGGCAGGGCACCTGCCACACTGGTTTATCAAATCTTTGCTCTTTTGTCTCAGTCTTGTTTCCTTTAAAAAGAGCACAGAACAGTTAAATTGACAGGCCCCTGCGGACCCATCCTGGTCCTCTTCTTCCTCCTCTCTCAAAAGGTAAACACTCTAATGATTCACGGACTGAAGTTTCAAACTTCACAGAAAAAGTATAATCTAGGTATCCTTATGCAACTTGTGATTCGTTATGAAAATTATTTTCAACCAACCTAATTACCATAACATTGCTGTTTTCTATCTCCGTGCCTCCTCCGAGTTCAAGGCCCCTGCTCACACCCTAAACTGTGAAAATTCCCTGATGATAAAGCTTTTACACTTAGTGAAAACTGCTGAAAAGTTAAAAAAGAGCATTTCTATATTAATTTGTATCAATTCCACTTCCTTTTCCACTGTAGGTTGCAAAGGTAACAATTAAGAAGCTGGAAACACTTTTAGATCAATTAGGGAAACATTTGTCTTATGTGAATATTGCAAACTTCATAGGGAGCAGTGTATTTTCTTTTGTAATTGCATTTCTATTTGTACCCCAAGAAATACGGACATACCAGGACTTCCAGGAACTCCAGGGGGACCACTAGGACCTGGGAATACATAACATTAATTAATTGCTCACAAAGATATA